TAGATTTTTTTGAAGATAAATTTTTCAAGATCAATTCATTAATAAAATCTCTTAGGGCCTTCAATAAGGAAAATTAAGACACATAATTAACATACCTTAGATCCTGGCTTTCTGTAGTAAGGACAAGAAGAAGTTCCCAAGCTAGTACCTGGCTGTCATCTCCACTATGAAATTTATTGTAATGTTTGATGTTTTGCAAGAGGAGCTGGTCAAGGCATTCCAGTGCCTTCTCTTGCACAGTGCTCTCACAGTCCATCACAACAGGGATGATTCCTGTCAGCCAGGCTTTTTGTACATGGATACATCTACGTTGGGCCTTAAGATTTTAAAATTAAGAAGTCACAAGTCTGATGTTATTAACAGTCTAAATAAAAATCATTTGAAGATATGATTGATGATGTGAGAAACACGTTAAAAATAATCATGTATATGATTGCAAATTGAGTAAAAATTGAAAAAAAGAAAACATTCATATTGCACAGAAAACAAACTTCAACCCAAGTTATTATAAATTAGTGCAGACTTAAATTTTATACATACACAGTAAAGTCATAATTTTACTAGTAGTAGTCAATTAGCACTTTTGGTGATGCAAGATAAAAGCAAGTAATAAATATTTATCCTAAGGAACAAACAGATTAGATGCTAACAGAAAAATAAAAAATGCATTGCTTAGTGCCTTCTAACATGAAATAAATAAACACATTTTAAAAATTCTTCCACAACTAATTAGTGGGTAGAATTAAATGGCACAGTATTAATAGATCTGCTTTTGTAGCGGTATCATCTGTATATGTCTTGTTGGGTTGTTATGTGCTGTCGAGTCAGACCTGACTCACAGCGACCCCTCCTTGGGCTTCCGAGTTGGTATCACTATGGAAGTAGATCGCCCAACCTTCTTTCTGAGGAGTGGCTGGTGGGTTTGAACCGCCAACCGTCTGGCTAGCAGTCAAGTGCCGTAGGCACTATGCTACCAGAACTCCCATATATATATATGTCTTAACAGACCCATATTAATCTAGAGTTAACTAAATTAATTTTAAAATTGATTTTTCTATATAAGATACGAGCCGAAGTTAAGAAAAAGCTAGTCATTAGTTTTCCCTAGCATTAGTAGCTATTTATATTCACTTTGAAATAGTGCAAAGTGTGCAATTAAAAGATGTCTCTTCCTTCCACTTGAAATGCAGCCCTTCAGTAGACCTCTTCAATGTCAAATACCATGCACTAGAGAGATACATTATGCCTTTTCTCTTACCATAAGAAGGTCAGTAAGGGATTGCAGGGCCTGCTTCCGGACAGACACTGCAGGATCTCGACACTGCTCCTGCAGAATTGACAGGTCTTCCTTCATACCCGATATTTCACAATGCTTCAAAATATTCCCTAAAACCTAGAAGGCAAATATGCAGCATGATGTGATGACTGTGCACAGTATAAATACAAAAGACTAACTGAAGACTGATGGATACTTCCTTCAAAAGTTTGTGCTTAACATCTTGGGGTCATGGATCAATTACTCCCTCTTACAACATATACTACCTTTTAGAATTTGATGAAAGCTAACACCTCCTTCGGTAGCAAAATCTGAAATGTATTTCATAAATAAATATTTACAAATAATTTCAGGGATTAATGAACCCTAGGGAAACTTATCCATGGCCCCTAGGTCTTAAGAATGTCTATTTTAGGGAGTTCTGGTAAGATGGTGAAATATGCAGAAAGACTGCACAGACCCTCTTCAACAAAGAAAAGGGAAACCAATTCACATGGACACAGAAAATAATCCTAGACACCTAAGCTTTGAAGGGAAGGTCATAGAAGTGGACTAAACTCCAAATGGTAGAAGAATTTGCATGAAAAGACCAAACAAGGAGATACGCAGCACTGTGGTCTGACAGCGTCCCAAATGGCACAGACAGCTTGGATAGTGCCGAGTGTAATTAGACCTAAGAATTAACCTAAAAATCAACCCTGCTAGTCAGAGACTGCATGGAGGACTGCTCTGGTAGTTGGTGAATAAAAGGGGAACCAGCGAAGAAGAAAGTACGCAGACTTGTGGATTTTGCCTGTCTGGAGGGCGCAGCTGTTTTGAATGTTTACCAGTGGATCAAACATTTTGGACAGTTAAAGTGACAGCATTCTCCCAGATTCCAGGACTTAAGAATAGGCTCTATTTGCCAGGAACCAAAGGACATTATGGACACCAAGGAATGGAAAGCTTCACTTATTGAGTGAGAGCCACCACTTCCGTCTCCACCAACTGGCCAATGATAAAAGACCACCAAGAAGAAACTGGCTCACCCTTAGTTGCTCTTCACAAACAGTTAACAGAGATCTAAATATAACAACATCACAATGTCTCAGAGACAACAGACTATCACAGTCCACACAAAAAAGCAAGATAAAGTGGTTGCAACAAGGGTGCAGGATACGGACCCAGAACACATCCCTAAGGAAGCAGCAGCACTGGAACTCCCTGATAAGGAATTCAAAAGAAATATATTTAGGTATCTTTAAAGTATTGACAGATAGATCAAGGAAAAAACTGACAAAATTGAGGAAAGCACAGATAAAACCCTAGAACAATTTCAGAAGAAAATACAAGAACAAAATGACAAACTAAATGAAAAAGTAGAAATGACTCAAATCTACACATAGAAATCCAGATTAATACTAAATACTAAATTGTCAGAAAACTACAGACCAATATCCCTCATGAATATAGATGCAAAAATCTTCAACAAAATCCTAGCCAAAAGACTGCAATAACATATCAAGATAACCATTCATTATGACAAAGTGGGGTTCATATCATGTATGGAAGGCTGGTTCAACATTAGAAAAACAATCAACATCATCCACCACAGAAATAACATACTGAAACAGTAAAGGAGTAGAATTGAATTAATGGAAGACAGAATTAAGGAGACTGAAAATAAATACCTGAATACTTCTTTGGAAAGAGATCAATCAGAAAAAAAATCAAAACAAAAAGAAGAAACCGTAAGATCCATGTGGGATACAATCAAAAGAAAGACCCTATGTGTCACTGGCATTCCAGAACAGGAAGAAAAAAATAAAACCACTGAGAAAATTGTCCAAGATTGGTTGGAAGAGAACTTCCATGATATGATGAAAGATGAGAATATATCCATTCAGGAAATCCAATGAACCACAAACAGGAAGGACCTCAAAAGAAAATCAACAAAACATATCATCATCAAACTCATCAAAACCAAAGACAAAGAAAGAATACTGGCAGCAAAGGAAAAAATAAAAGTAACTTACAAAGGACAACCAATAAGAATAAGCTCTGATTTCTAAGCAGAAACCATGCAAGCAAGAAGGCAAAGGGATAGCATATAGAAAACCCGGAAAGAGAAATATTTCCAACCAAGAATTATATCCAAGAATTATATACCTGGAAAAACTGTCCCTCAAATATGATCATGAAATTAGGACATTTCCAGATAAGAAGATATTAAGAGAACTTGTTAAAACCAGACCAACCTTACAAAGATACTAAAGGAAGTCCTTTCAACAGAGAACCAATAATAGCAAACAACAACCCACTATTAATATAAGATGACAAAACCCAGAAACCACAGCTATGGACATATCCCAAGTAAAATAACCTTATAAGATTGTAAACAGGGAATCGGAGACATCAATTGGTAAATGGGGACAACTACAAACCAAAAAGAGGGAAAATATTGTGTACAGAACTTCTAAACAATGAGGAAGTCAAGAGAGTTGCAAGATAGAATGGATTATTCTAAACTCGGGGAGAAAATTAAAAATCACAGGGAAACCTCAAAAGAAAATGACAAACCTTCACATCACAATAAAAAAAAGAGGACAAGCACAAATATTTAGCAACTGTTAAAACAACAGCCACAAAGGAAAGGATAACACGATTCATAAACGTAAGGAGCTCAGCACAGAAAATTATATGGAACAAAGAAACTGAGAAAAGCATAAAAAAACACATAACAAAATTAAAGCAACAAATTCATACTTGTCGAAAATTACACTGAATGTTAATGGATTGAATGCACTACTCAAGAGAAGGAGAGTTGAACGCTGGATAAGAAAACAACACTTATCAATAAATAAGAGACAACAATCTATAAGAGACACACTTTAGAGACAAACACAAAAAATAGACTAAATAGGAAAAAGATATAACAAGCAAATGGCAACCAAAAAAGAGCTGGAGTGGCAATATTAATTTCTGATCAAACTAACTTTAAGACAAAGAAGGACATTATATAATGATAAAAGCATCAACTGAACAAGAGGACAAAACTACAATAAATATATATAAACCCAAGGAAAGACCCCTAAAATACATAAATCAGACTTTAAAAGTGTTGAAAAGGCAAATAGATGACTCCACAGTCATAGTGGGAGACTTTACTATACCACTTTCAATCACAGATAGAACAATTGGAAAGACATTCAACAAAGATATAGAAGAGCTAAACTACAATCCACCATCTTGAACTTATAGACATCTACACAGCACTTTACCCAACAACAGTACAATATACATTCTTTTCCAGTGCACATGGAACATTCTCCATGATACACCATATGTTAGGCCATAAAGCAAGCCTTCATAAATTTAAAAACATTGAAATACTGTAAAGCATCTCTCAGATCTCAATGCTATCAAATTAGAAATCAACAATACGAAGATCAACGGAAAAAGAGCAAACATATGGAATCTGAACAACACCCTCCTTAAGAACGACTGGGTAGGAAAAGATATAAAAAATGAAATTAAAAAATTCTTTGAATTACACGACAATGAAAACGCAACATACCAAAATCTTTGGGACACAACTAAAGCAGTGATCAGAGGCCAATTTATAGCAATAAATGGACACATCTAAAAGAAGAACGAGCCCAAATCAACACTGTAAACCAAAATCTCTAACATTAGAGAAAGAACAAGAAAAGCCTACAGTCAGCAGAAGAAAGGAAAAAGTAAAGATTGGAGCAGAAATCAATGAAACAGAAAACAGAAAGACAACAGAAAATATCAGCAAGACTAGAAGTTGGTTTCTTGAAAATATTAATAAAATTGGCAAATTTAACAAACAAAAAAAGAGGGAGAAAAGAGAAATAACAGGAATAAATGAAATGGGCGACATCACAACAGAACCAACTGAAATAAAAAGGATAATATCAGGATACTATGAAGAACTGTACTCCAACAAATTTGAAAATCTGGAAGAAATAGACAGATTTCTAGAAACACATCACTTACCTAAACCAACACACATTGATGTGGAACAGCTGAACGGATCCATAACAAAAGAAGAAATTGAACAGGTTATAAAAAAATTACCAACAAGAAAAAAAATCCTGTCCCAGAAGGTTTCAATGGAGATTTCCAAAAACATTCAGAGAAGAACTGATACCAATCCTACTCAAACTATTCCAAAACATACAAAACAATGGAATCCTAGTTAACTTATTTTATGAGGCAAGGATAACCTTGATACAAAAATCAGGCAAAGACATCACTCTAAAGGAAAACTACAGACCAATATCCCTCATGAATATAGATGCAAAAATTTTCAACAAAATCCTAGTCAATAGACTGCAACAACATATCAAGAAAACCATTATTATGACAAAGTGGGGTTCATATCATGTATGGAAGGATGGTTCAACATTAGACAAACAATCAACATCATCCACCACAGAAATAAAACAGAGGAGAAGAACCACATGATCATATCAATTGATGCAGAAAAGGCATCTGATTAAATCCAACACCCATTCCTGATCAAAACTCTCAGCAGAATAGGAATAGAAGGGACATTACTCAATGTAATAAAGGGTATATAAGCAAAACCAACAGGAACACTACACTCAATGGAGAGAGACTGACACCATTCCCATTGCGAACAGGAACCAAACAAGGATGCCTTCTATCACCACTTCTATTCAACACTGTACTGGAAGTCCTAGCCAGGGCAATAAGGCAAGAAAAGGAAATCAAAGGCATCCCAATTGGTAAGGAAGAAGTCAAACTATCCCTATTTACTGATGATATGATTTATGCCTAGAAAACCCAAGAGACTCATTCAAAAATCTACTGTAACTAATAGAGAGATTTAGAATCATAGCAGCATACAAGATGAACATCCAAATATCACTTGGATTCCTCTACACCAGCAAAGAGACTGCTGAAATAGAAATAAGGAAATTAACACTATTTACAATAGCTAACAGAAAAACAAAATACTTGGGAATAAATCTGCCCAGAGACACAAAAGACCTATACAAAGAAAACTATAAAAGACTACTTCAAGAAACCATAAGAGAACTACATAAATGGAAGAACATACCATGCTTGTTTGTGGACAGGAAGACTGAACATTGAGAAAATGTCAGTTCTACACAAAGCAATCTATATACATTCAATTCAATCCCAATCCAGATCCCATCAACATTTTTTAAAGATATGGAAAAGCCAATCACTAACTTTATATGGAAAGGAAAGAGACCTCAGATAAGCAAAGCATTACTGAAGAAGAAGAACAAAGTAGGAAGTCTCACACTGCCTCCTCTCAAAACCTATACAGTCACAGTAGTCAAAACTGCCTGGTATTGGTATCATGGCAGACTTACAGACCCATGGAACTGAATTGAGAACCCAGAAACAGATCCATTGACCAATGGTCAGCTGATCTTTGTCAAGGGGCCGAAATCCATTAAATGGAGAAGAGAAAGTTTGTTTAATAAATAGTACTGGCAAAACTGGATATCCACTTGCAGAAAAATGAAACAAGATCTGTACCTCACAACATACCCAAAAACTACCTCCAGATGGATCAAAGACTTAAATAAGAAATCTAAAACAATAAAGTTCCTTGAGGAAAAACTAGGGGCAAATTAGCTCTGGTAACATAGTGCCTAAGGCACTTGACTGCTAACCAGGAGGCTGGTGGGTCAAACCCACCAGCTTCTCCTCGGAAGGAAGGTTCAGCAATCTACTTCTATAGTGATACTGTCTTGGAAACCCAAGGACAGCTCACTATGAGTCAGGTCCAACTCGACGGGACATAAGAACAAAAACACAACAATTTATGGCATAAAAAGACTAGCAAGCATAACCCAAAATGCAAAAACAGCAGAAGAGAAACTAGATGAATGGGAACTTCTAAAATTAAATTTTTATGTGCTTCCAAAGACTTCTCCAACAAAGTCAAAAGAGAACATACAGATCGGGAAAAAGTATTTGGCAATGACATATCTGACAAGGGATTTATCCCTAGAATTTACAGAAAACTGTAACACCTCAACAACAAAAAGACAAATAATCCAATTAAAAAATGGGCAGAAGATATGAATACACAGTTCACCAAAAAGGATATTCAGGCAGCCAACAAACATATGATAAAATGCTCACAATTATTAGTCATTAGAGAGATGCAAATCGAAACAACAATGAGATACCATCTGGCCCCAGCACTAGTAGCAGAGTTCAACAAGACAGAAAATAACAAATGCTGGCGAGGATGTGGAGAGATTGGGACTTTCGTACACTGCTGGTGGGACTGTAAAATGGCACAACCACTGTGAAAAGTAGTATGGTGATTCCTTAAAAAGTTGGAATTAGAAATACCATTTGACCAGATATTCCATTACTAGGTATATATCTTAAAGAAGTGAGAACCAGGAGAAGAACAGACATATGCACACCCATGTTCATCGCAACACTATTTACAATAGCCAAAAGATGGAAACAACCTAGGTGTCCATCAGCGAAGAATGGATAACCAAACAATGGAACATACACACAATGGAATACTATGCAACTCTAAAGTATAACATAGAATCGGCAAAACACCACATACCATCAATGAACTTGGAGGAGATTATGCTGAGTGAAATAAGTAAGTCAATCACAGAAGGAGAAATATTGTGTTAGTCTGTTACTGTAAAAAGTCAAGGAAAGATTTACATGATACATTGCCATCGAATCAGATCTGACTCACAGCGACCACTCCTTGGGTTTCAGAGGTGGTATCTATACGGAAGTAGACTGCCCAACCTTCCTTCTGGGGAGTGGCTGATGGGTCTGAACTGCCAGTCTTCTGGTTAGCAGGCAAATACCTTAGGCACTATGCCACTTTGCTAGTAGTTACCAGGGGTGGCAGGGGAGAGTAGGGAACACTGTTAAATAGGTAGAGCCCTGCAGTGATTTGGATGAAGAAAAGGGCAATGTACCAAATGTGAGTGATCGACATGGTGGCACTGAAGAAGAAAAAGCCATAGAGAGGTACAGGCGAGGTACAGACAACAAAGATGAACCCTTTTGCACATACACTACTGTGTTGTCAGTGAAGGCAAACATGGATATATGGGTGGATAGATCCGTGGACAGGCTGAACTATTAGATATGTCTATGTGGTGGGGAGTGTGTAGGGTATAGGGTTGGCAGACAATGCTTTTACAAGTGTATTGGTATGTTCTGTATAGAATTCCCAGGTATACGATAGAGCTGACAAGGAACAAGGTTGTAGTCACTTCTTGGGCACAGCCAGCTAACCGGAGTGAGCAAATAGTTGAATCTCAGGGGTTGGGACCACAGTCACAGGGGACATCAAGCTCAACTGGCATAACACACTACAAAAAACACTGTTCCACCTCCTACTTTGGCGAGTAATGACTGGGATCTTAAAATCTTGCAAGCAGCCATCTAGATGCAACAATGGGTCTCTTCTCATCAAAAGCAAAGAAGAATGAAGAAAACCAAAGATTCACAGAAACAATTAGTCTTAGCGACTGATATACCATGCAATCTGCAGCCTATATGACTATGAGACCAGAAGAACTAGGTGATGCCTGGCTACCATTGTCAACCACTTGGAGGGTAATCTATGTAGGAGATCGTAGATAGAGTGGGAGAACTATGTAGAACAAAACTCAAAATCACTTGGGGAAAAAAAAAAAAAGAGGGACCGGGTTTGCTGGTCTGATAGAACCTGATGGAACCACTGAGACTATGGCCCCTAGATGCCCTTCAGGTCTGGAGTTGAACCCCCATCTGTGGCTTCTAGCCAAACAAAAGACAGGCATATAAGCTGAACGTTTACACTAGGCAGATATACTCCTCGGAGAGAACAATCATGGGAGAATAGAAGGGCTGTGTATGCACAGGGTCATAACTCAGGGGACAGGAGTGCATGGAGGGAAGGACACAAGGAAGAGATAACTATGAGGAAGAACTGGGAGGGGAACTGTAAATTGTGGTACATTGTAGTCAATGTCATGACACAAAGTGTATGTGAACTGCTGCATGGAAAGTGAATTTGCTCTGTAAACTTTGACCCAAATCACAATAAAATAAAATAAATTAAAAAAAAAACAAACCTCTATTCTAGACAAAAGAAATAAAGGATATAAATTTGTGATTATTAAAAAGCCAGCAATTTAGTAGAAAAGCTTACAAATAGATAATCTTTCAGTTTATCTCTATAATTTCTACATGAAAGGATCAGGGTCAATTAGCAGTTAACACAAAACAAGTTAATCAAAGTATATGACCTGAGGACTTTTTTAAACAATCTCTTACATGTTCCACTTTTTAGCTGTTATAAAGATAGCACATAAAAACTGTCTAAAAAAATTCACACCTGGAGCGCAGATTTCCTAACGTTGGTCTTCTCATCCCTGATTCTTTTCCTCAGCATTGCCAAAACACATCTTTCTGTTGAGAAAATCAAAAAAATCATTACTGTGTGAGAAAGACTACACAGTAACTACATTTCACCATGTAATACCAAAACACTCTAGTCTAAAAATCTTCCTAATTAGAAATCAGAGCATCAAATTATATACAAAAAGAAAGAAAGAAAGAAAACCTTAACAATAATTTATAACAATGAAAAATGCAGACTAGTATAATAAAAAGAGCATAAATTAGGAGTGTTATTATAAAGCTGATTTTAAATCCTGGCTTCTACCTTTGAAATTTTGAGCAAATTATGTGGTTCATACATTTCAATCAGCTACAAATGGAAATATTTAGCCCAAAGGGTTGTTAAATGAGATATGGTAATATACAACAGAGGTTTCACAACTTTACCAAAAATTACTGAGGAACCAAGGAGCTTGAGACCATGATCGTGGGGGAAATCAAGCTCAATTGGCATAATATACTACACAAAACACAGTTCTACATCCTAACTTTGTTGACTTTTTAGACTAGGGACTTAAAAGCTTGTGAGCAACCACCTATGATGCAACACTGGTACCTCCTGATCCACAGCAAAGAAGAATGAAGAAAATCAAAGACCCATGGAAACAATTAGTCTCAGGGAATAGTGGACCATACGAACCTTAGCCTACATGATCCTCAGACCAGATGAACTAGATGGTAATCTCTCAGAACAGAAGATATGGAGAAAGTGAGAGAAAAGTATGGAACAAAACTCACAATCATACAAAATACCAGGCTTACTGGTCTAATATAGACTGGTCAAACTCCCAAGACTATGGCCCATCATCATTCTTTAGGTCTGATTCTTGACTATAAGCAAAGAATACCAGAAAGATGTTTACTAGTGTTTTACTGACTATGCAAAAGCATTTGTCTGCTTGGATTATAACAAATTATGGATAACACTGAGAAGAATGGGAATTCCAAAATATTGGGAACCTGTACATAAACCATTTGAACAGAACAAGGGGATACTGAATGGTTTAAAATCAGGAAGGGTTTGTGTCAGGGTTGTATCCTTTCACCACACTTATTCAATCTGTATGCTGAGTAAATAATCTGAGAAGCTGGACTATATAAGAACAATGCAGCATCAGGATTGGAGGAAGGCTCATTAACAATCTGCAATATGCAGACAAAACCTTCCTGGCTTAAAGTGAAGATGACCTGAAGCACTTACTGATGAAGATCAAAGACTTCAGTCGGCAATATGGATTACACCTCAACATAAAGAAAATAAAAATCCTCAGAACTGGACCAATAAGCAGTATCATCACCATAAATGGAGAAAAGATTGAAGTTGTCAAAGATTTCATATTACTTGTATCCATAATCAACTCCTATTAAAGCAGCAGTCAAGAAATCAGATGTCATACTGCACTGAGCTAATCTGCTGCAAAAGACTGTTTAAAGTGTTAAAGAGCAAATATATTTCTTTGAAGACTAAGCTGTGCCTAACCCAAGCCATGGTATTTTAAATGACCTCATATGCATGTTAAAGTAAGGAAGACCAAAGAAGAGTTGATTCTTTTAAAATGTGGTGTTGGTGAAGAATACTTAAAACACCATTGATTGTCAGAAGAACAAACAAATCTGTCCTAGAAGAAGTGCAGCTGGAATGATCCTTGGAAGCGGGAAAGGCCAGACTGCATCTCACCTATTTTGGTCATGTTGTCAGAAAGGACCATTCCCTGGAGAAGGATATTACTCTTGGTAAAGTGGAGAGTGAGCACAAAAAGAGGAAGACCCTCAAAGAGACGGACAGACACAGTGGCTACAACAATGGGCTCAAGTACAGTGAGGACTGTGAGGACAGCACATGACTGGGGACTGTTTTGTTCTATTGTACATAGGGGTCACTATGAGTCAAATCTGACTCAGTGGCACCTAATAACAACAAAACAACACAGCAGAAATGAAAACATATGTTCATATTCACATTAAAACTTGCACAATAATGTTCATAGCAGCATTATTTATAATAGCCAAACACAGGAAATAACTCAAATATCCATTAACTGATACAGAGATAAACAAAATGTGGTCCATCCATACAATGGAATAATATTTAGCCATTAAAAAACAGTGAAGTACAGATACAGGACAAAATATGGATGAACATTGAAAACATTATGCTAAATAAAGAAAGACAAACACAAAGGGCTATATATTGTGTGATTCCATTTAGGTGAGATGTCCATAATTCGCAAATCCACAGCTATAGAAAGCAGGGGCTGGAGGTAGGTAGAAATATATGTCACTGCTGATGGATGTGAACTTTTTGTTTTAGGGATTATGTAAATATTCTATAATTGGATAGAAGTGATGATTCCATACTCTTGTGAATATACTGAAAACCACTGGTTAACTTTTATGGTATGTGAATTACATCTCAATTTTTTTAAACTGTGCTTGGCATGTGGTAACTATACAAGCTTTTAACATATAATCAATGTCAACAACAATATAAATTCTTTTAATCTATCAACAAGAAGATGGGAACATAGGCTCTTTACATCTGGCAAACTTCTGAAATTCCAAAGACTCAAATCAACGTAACTTGATATTGCTTGGAAAAGTGTCTATACAAAGTAAATCTATAATTTGAAGAGAGAAAATATGGAGCCAACACAAACATTTACTGTTTTCGAGATTAAATCTCTCCACAGTATTTTAGGGAATCTGTTTCTTATAAATTGTTATTGCTCTAATTTAATCTGAGTAATAGATGCTAATATCTAGCCATACAAATCTACTACTATACTGATCTTCTGGACTGAAATGATAAATAGTAATTATCCTCACAGAACTTTAAACATACCTCAGCATCTCCATCATAGCTGCACACATACACACATGTGTCTCCCACTGGTCTATAATTTCCTTGAGAAAAGTAATTATTTTATTCAAGTCTATAGCAGATAAATATCTGCTGCCAGAATTAATAAACCAAACCACACAATTAATCTCCTAAACAGGCATATTCTCTCTCCTCTTTACATACATACATACGTACATACATACATATATATGTATGTATGTACGTATGTATGGGTACCAAAACAAAAACCAAACTCATTGCCATCCAGTAGGTCTCGACTCATAGTGACCCCTCCTTGGGTTTCTGAGGCAGTAACTCTATGGAAGCAGACTGTCCAATCTTACTTCTGAGCAATGGCTGGTGGGTTTGAACCACCAGCCTTCTGGTTAGCAGTCAAATGCCTTAGGCGCTACACCACCAAAGCTACATATGTATTTAAATCTTTTTTTTTCCCCCCAATGGATTCTCCTAACAGCCCTCTATGATAAATAGGAAGGGTGTTAGAATCAGAACATTTGGTAATTAGGGAGTTTTATTGACTGCCATATCTTGGGTCATGTAACTAATTAGTTAAAATAAGTACCAATTAGTATAAGAATTCAAACTGCTCCTAATTCCTAATACAGTGTTATTTTCTATGGTATTATGCTATTTCATGTTATAGATGAATAAAAGGTCCAGCAAGTAAAGTGACTTTCTAGGTTCCCAGTCTGCCTGATACCTTGTTGTTGTTTATTACCTAGTCCAGGCTTATTTTTCCCATCTTGACTCACAATAACAATTAAACATTCCAGATTATTCTAGGCTCAGCAAGTCAACAACATCAACTAAATTGTTCTAAATCCCATACTGGAGTCCCTGAGTAAGAGCACACATAACGTTAGTTTATCCCTATAAAAACTCATCTTCAAATCACTTAGAATGCAAACTACAAAAACCACACAACATACATGACTCATAAAAATAATGGTTCATACTCATTTTGATGAAAGAGTCTATAGAAGAATTCTGATCAAAAGGGGGGGGAATTGTATGACAGAATTTCAAATTCTCATAGAACTCAGACTCTGTAGAATTATGATTATAATTATGTAGAATTATGTAGAATTATGGAGCCCTGAAACTATTGCCCTAAGCTAATCTTTAAACCTTAAACCAAAAATATAATGTCAAGTATTCTTAAACCAAATAGCGGTTTAGTTTAACTAGCAAACACTGCCTTCCTTGAGCATATGCTTTTAAGATCTATCTATATGGGATCAAATTGGCAAGAACAACTCAAAAGATTAGATTGGAGGAAGCGAGTTGATGTTATTGGAAGAGGACAACTCAGAAAAGGAACATGAGAATGTTGCACAACTTCAAGAAAGTAATCTATGTCACTGAACTGTATATGGAGAAACTTGAATTGGTGTATATTTTTGCTGTACATATTCTCAACAACATAAATAAATTAGACTTAAAAAAAATGGTTCATGCTGTTGGTACTGAGAAATTATAAACTAAATCCTGAACTGTCTTTTTCAAAGATGGATGTTTGGATTCAGAGTTTCCTATCATGATATTAAAAGTAGATTCTGGGATTGTACAAAGACTTTAGTTAAAGACATAATAAAAAGATATGATTCCATGTAAAAGATGTTTTAATTTGTGAGAATGAGTTAATCATAAAAACAAAAATATATTAAGGTTTTTAGATGCTTTTGACAGGTTCCTTCAATCCAAGTTATTACCCATCTGATACTGATAAAATATGACATACCCCCTGATCCAGCTGTTTTAGCACTGTTGTCTACATTGATCACGTCTGAGACTCCAGAAGGGTTAAATGTCTGCCTCTGAAAGGAAAAACCTTAAAAATATTTTAAAAAGGGAAAGTCATTAAGGTAAAAACGTACAGCTTTTGGCAATGTAAACATGGCATTTTACTCATATAAGTTGCTACAACCTTACTAAAATATATTTCAATTTTCTTGATGAAGCAAAAAAAAATTTACATTAAAAAGGCAAATGTAACATTTCAAATACTCAACAATTCTTTTAAGTAAAAAGATAATTATTAAATATTGATTCACTACCTGATGAATTTCTCAGTAAGGTACCAGGGTGGCTCTCTGTTCTTGAAACTGCACGACCTAAAAATACGCAGATAGGAAAGAGATGTAAAGAGTCACAGTGTCATAAGCTCCAAGTAAATATCCACAGAGGAATTAAATTCAAGATAATCAGGCCCAAGAACAAGTAAGACAAATTCTAAATTACTGGCAATCAGTAATATTCTTCTTCTTGAGTAAGCACTTGAAATGGAAAGCAGGCCCCAATATACTCATTTCTATGCCAAACAATGCAAGGTAGTATTAAGACAGCCAACATTCTCACTTCTACAACACGACTATTTGAAATACTTAATAGGTCTTTTAAATGTATCAGGCTTGCCTATAATGTAGGGTAAAATACACTAAAATAGGTTTATGAGTGCAAAAATATCTTATACCATTTCTGGAATTTTGTCACGAAAAAGAATGATTCCTGTGCCAGGCTATACCACTGTCATCCACTTGGAAGGGGATGTATGTAGGAGATCCTTGATAGAGAGGGAGAACAATGTGGAAAAAAACTCAAAATCATTTGGAGGGGAAAAAAAAAAAAAAAAGGTGGGGACCAGTTTTGCTGGTCCGATAGAGCCTGGTGGAACCACTGAGACTATGGCCCTAGCCGCCTGTCAGGTCTGGAATTGAACCCACACCTGTGGTTTACGGCCAAACAAAAGACAGGCATATGAGTTGAACATTTACCTCAAGTAGATACACTCCCTGGAGAGAACAATCATGGGAGAAAGAAAGGCTGCTTATGCACAGGGAGACAGCTCAGGGGGCAGGAGTATACGGAGGGATTGACACTGGGAAGAGGTAACTATGGGGAGGAAGTGGGAGGGGACCTATTGCATTGTGTAAACTGTGGTCAATGACATGAGACAAAGTATATGTGAACTGCTATATGGAAAGTGAATTTGCTCTGTAAATCTTCACCCAAATCGCAATTAAAAAAAAAAAAAAAGAATGATTCCTGTGTAGTCTAATTTCTTAGGAAACACAAGCCAAGTTTCATGTAACAGCAGATGCCATACTTACTGTTAATGAGAAGTTCCAGTATACTCTCTGACATGCTGGTAACAGACAGCTCCAGACAATGTGCAAAACTGGACAATGCCTTGCTGCGGACAGTAGGTGCCTTGTCTAAACAACGGTCAAATATAATTTCCTGTACCAAGAACTTATGTGTTAAGAACTTCTGATGCTCCAAGGATAGAGTATTATCCACCTCTCTTTCTGGCAGTTCTAACAGAGCTAAGGCAACATCAAGAGTAAAAACCCTGTGTGGGATCTGGTAAAGCAAAATCATAAGAACTTCTATCAGATAAGAATAAAAAAAAGCAAAGATATCCTATCTTATGTATTCAGATCTGGCTGTCATTAGAAGTTAACAGAACCAAGATCAAAGACTCCATGCAGGTATTTCTCCTACCTTGGAACTTCGTGAGTATCTGTAGAGCCAGGCAATGAATGTAGCATATTCCACAGAAGGAAGTTTACTGAGCAACTGGACCAGGGACTGGGCTGCACAGGTCCGGTACTCTGACTTATCTATCACCTGAAACACAGAAAGAGAAGGTGTATGGCCAATATCTACCTGCAGGACAAGCGAAGCACATGTTCTAAAGTTGAAAATATGTGAGTGACCTTTACATGTAATATAATTGACTAACACATTTTAGGTATCAGATCCCTTTGAAAAGTAAGCTATGTATCTATAAACCCTCTTCATAGGAAAGAAGGAAAAAAAAAAAACAACATAAATTGAGCATATAATTTCAGGGAGGTCATGGACCCCCTAGAATTCATGAGCTTTAGATTAAGCATTATATAAATGCTTATAAAAATTTTTTTAAAAAAATTTTTAAGAGCTATTCATGGAAATTTTAATATCGACCAGATATTTGAGGATATTAAAGATATGTTAGTAAGATGTTTTTAGATGTATTAATATTCTGAATATTTTGTAATTATATTTTTAGATTCTTAACATTAAGAAATATATACTAAAATATTTATGTATTAAAAAATACAGATTTGCTTAAAGAAAAGAAAAGAAAACACAATATGTGTACATATTATGGTGAGCAAATAGGGGTATAAATGAGACATGAGTGCCAAAGCTAGGTAATGGGTATATAAAGAGTTCATCTTCTTAGTCTAGTTTTGTTATGTTTGACATTTCCCAGCAAAATTTTTTCTTAAAGGACATTTTGTTTAGGGAAACATCTAGTGAATATGAAATAAAGCACTTTTAGAATGATACAGACTACTTCCTATGAATACACATATACATGCTTTCATACATACATATATATTTACTATGTTTATCATATTATTATTAAATCAAATGACATGCTTTCATACATACATATATATTTATTTACTATGTTTATCATATAATTATTAAATCAAATGATACCTTGGCACAAATATGCTGGAGTAAGATACGAAGGACCGGAAATATACTTTCTTTTAGTTCATCCACAAGTAAGCTATTTAAAAGAAAAACACATACCCTATTACAAAATACCTATTATTACAACAAAATAATAATTTTTCTTTACCCTCAAAAACCACTACTCCTGTATTTCAGAATTTCTAAATACTAAAATCAATCTACCCCAATATAATAAGAGTCATTTCAGTAGACTAAAGCATCAAAATACAAAGTCTGATAGCAGAAAACTACTAAATGCTTACTATCATGGTTTTAGAGAGCTGTCACCACGTATACAGGTATAGACATGGAAGGGAAAAGTAGAAGCTTCATATTATTCTTTGACCAAACCAAAAAAATCAAACTCATTGCCATCGAGTCTGATCTGACTCAAAGTGACCCCTCCTTTGGTTTCCGAGGCATTTTCTCTACAGAAGTAGATTGCCCAATCTTCCTTCCGAGGGTGGCCTTAGCAGTATTCTTTGACTACTTACTAAATTTAAGACTCCAGAATCTAGTGTTATATATGAAGAGACTACAACACAGTACCACCTTATGGTAGCTTAGTGAAATGTTACTTCAATAAATGTACATTACCTCTCCAACTTTTAATCCAAGAAGTTACTATAATTCTCATATGTTAAGTTTATGTGCACCATTATATGAATATTATTATGACTGGAAATATCATGAACTTTCACCAAAAAACCAAAGTGGTAGTCTTTCTACTTAAAATATCTTAGTTATTTAATGTTTGTTTGTTTTTTTTAAATCCTTAAAAAAAGAGATTGTTGCTTAGGGATTAACAGTTCATCCACATATCACATCTCCAGCTAAACTGTGTCCCGTGCATAACCACAGGTATGTACTTACATATAAATACTTACCACCACCTATATGCCCCATGATAAATATTCAATAAAGGAGGGAAAGAAAACCAATGGGATAGGAAAGATATCTTTCCCAATAAAGCCAACACATGACTTTTTAAGTGAAGCGGAATGACTCATGATGAAAAAATTAAGTCAACTGATTATTGCTAAAGAAATAAAAGCAACTCAATTCTTTCCTTTAGGATATTTTTCTATAGGAGGAAGAGAACAGAAAAGTGGGAATGGAGGGAATGAAGATACAAGGAAAAGCTGGCAACAAACAAGAGGAATGAAACTCAGAGAAGCAAGAAATAGGAAGAAAAAGAAGCAGGACTTTTGGAAACACTGCAAAAGACAGGGAGAGAAAAAAAGAGAAGCCATTATTACCCAGAAGAAAGCCTCACAGGTAGAATGAAGTAAGCTAGAGGCTGCTTCCGGCCCAGGAATTGCAGATCCTTTGTCCTTTATTCAGGCCCCAGTGTAGAGGCTACGAGTAGTGACCTAGACCATATGAATCTACCAGATCAGCTATGAAGTCTTTACTCTGACTTCTGAAGAACTAAGGAAGAGTGATAGAGTGAAAATTCAAAATGTGTGTCACCTGATAAACTGGACTGCTTGGTTTCTACCATTAATGACTTGTGATGTAATAGTAAGGGTGGTACGATGAGGTCCTTCTCCAACTTCTAACATCAATATTATATTCAGCATTTGATGGAAAACACAACCGATAACCTAGAAGAGAAAAGAAATTCCACTGAAGGATGACAGAGAATCCAGGTGTCTCAAAGACAGTGATACAGATGACAGTGAATCATTCAAAGACATCTGAAGATAAGGCAGATTAACAATAGCTTAACCTGGCTAAACACTAGGAATGTGGTTTGCGCATTTACCAGGCAATGCATATATCTACCTTGAGTACTATACTCGCTTAAGATCTATCTATATGGGATTGAACTAACAACAACAACTTAAAGGATCAAACAGTAAACTTAGGGGGTACAGAGCTTATGTTAGTGGGGGAGGAACATCTCAGAAAAGGAGGGTAAGAATGGTTGGACAACTTGAAAATGCAATCAATGTCACCAAATTGTTCATGTAGAAATTTGAAGTAGTTGTTTTTGCAATACATATTTTCAACAGAAGAAAAAAATTATTCCCCTTCACCCCCCAAAAAATACATACAGACAATGATGTTAAATTATCTAGTTTCTCTCCCATCCCCTGCATATTATAGCCAGAATTTAGAGCAAATGGTGAACTGTTATTCATAAATGGCAAAAAATGCAAGTTATATACCCTTACAGAAAAAGGGAGCTCTGGTAGCATAGTGCCTAAGGCACTTGACTGCTAACCAGAAGGCTGGTGGTTCAAACCCACCAGCCACTCCTCAGAAGGAAGGCTGGGCAATCTACTTCTGTACAGATACCGCCTCAGAAACCCAAGGAGGGGTTGCTATGAGTCAGGTCCAACTCGACGGCACATAACAACAACAACAACATAGAAAAAGGGAAAGAAGGATATTTTACACATATATTTTACCTAAAGTTTATAAAGTATCTTCCAATATATTATGTTATATAAGGTATTAGACTGATTGATTATCACCCAGTAAATAAAACATTTGTTGTTGTTGTTGTTATGTGCCGTCGAGTCGGCCCTGACTCATAGCGACCCCTCCTTGGGTTTCCGAGGCAGTATCACTACGGAAGTAGGATTGCCCAACCTTCCTTCCGAGGAGTGGCTGGTGGGTTTGAACTGCCAGCCTTCTGGTTAGCAGGCAAGTGTCTTAGCCACTATGCTACCAGAGCTCCTAATAAAACATTTACTGAAAAACAAATACACGAAAAGTATGACATTGAGCACATTCATAAATTTCATCTTACTATATTTAATTTAAAATCTTACAACAACCCCAAGAGGTAAGCATTTCTCATTATTTCCATTTTACACATCATAAAAGAAGACTCCAAAGGTTGGCTATCCAGAGTCAAGTAACTAAAAGGTCTCACTAAAACCAAGCTTGTCTAATATCAGTCAATACTTTCACAACTAAAAATACTACATCTTTAGAGACACAGTGAATCTAAAGGTCAATTTTTCCATCCATTTTAAGTTTTAAAATGTTATAAAGAATGTGAGATGACAACTAAAAACAAAAAGACAACCTAATCATAAAATGGGCAAAGGACTTGAATAGATACTTCACCAAAGGGGACATCTAATTAGCCATCAGAGAGATGTAAATCAAAACGAAAATGAGATACAATTTCACTTCCACTAGGATGGCTAAGATAAAATAGTAAAATAACAAATGCTGGAGAGGATGTGGGTGAATTGGAATCTTCATCCATTGCAACATGGTACAGCTGTTAACAAAAACAGTGTGGCAGTTCCTCAAAAACCTAAAAAGAAACTTATCTTATGACCCAGCAACTCCATTTGTGGTATATACCCCAGAAATTTGAAAGCAGAGACTCAAACATGTATACCAGTGTTCATTGCAGTACTAGTCACAATAGTCTAAAGATGAAAACAACCTAAATGCCCATCAATGGATGAATGGATAAACAAAATGAGGTACATACATGTAATGGAATAACTCAGCAAATAAGAGAAATGAAATCTTGATATATGGTACAATATGGATCGAGCTTAAAGATATCACGAAATAAGTCAATCACAAAAAGACAAATATTATATGACCACTTACATAAAAAGACAAGAACAGGGAAATGTACAGAGACTAAAGTTTATTAGTGGCAGCTAATAATAATAATATTAAGGTTGGGCAATCTACTTCTGTAGTGATACTGCCTCTGAAATCCAAGGTCGCTATGAGTCAGATCCAACTCCACAGCAGTGAGTTTTGTTTTACCATGGATGTGAGGGAGAGGGACCAAGTTTGCTGCGAAGTGTCTGGGGTCTTAAAAGCTTGAAAGCTGCTATCTAAGGCATAACAATTGGTCTCTATTCACCTAGAGCAATAGAGGAAGGAGAATCAAGAACAGGCGGAGGAAATGGAATGTGTGGCTAACTGCCTCCAGGAAGAGCTGCCTCCTTTGCCACGAGACCAGAAGAACTAGATGGTGTCCGCTACCATTACTGAACATTTTGAGCAAAGATTCTGTAGAAGGATCCTGACAAAATTTCATATTCTCATGGAGCAGGTTTTCTAGAGCCAAGGGAGCTAGATGAACCCCTAAAATTATTGACTGAAAATAATCTTTAAAATTTAGACCAAAAATATCCCCTGAAGTCCTATTAAAAACAAATAATAGTTTAGCTTAATTAGTAAAGAATGTCTAACTTGTACACAGTAAACTTTTAAGATCTATCTATATGGAATAAAACTGACATCAGAAACTTGAAAGATTAGATAGGAAACTTAATGGATAGTGAGTTTATGTTAATGAAAAGAACAAGTCATAAAAGGAAGGTGAGACACAATGGAATACTAAGCAACGCTAAAGAATAATGTAGAATCTGCAAAACACCGCATAACGTGGATGAACTTGGAGGACATTATGCTGAGCGAAATAAGTCAGTCACAAAAGGACAAATATTGTATTAGTCCGTTGTTGTGAAAGTTAAGGAAATGTTTATATATTGGAGGACATTTTCTTTGTTGGTTACCAGGGGTGGGAGGGAAGGGGAGGGAATGCTGTTAGATAGATAGAGATAAATATTGATTTGGGTGAAGAGAAGGGCAATGTACCAAATGTGAGTGACCAATATGGCAGCATTGAGGATGAGAAAGACACAGAGAGTTACATGGGCAGTACAAACAACAAATATGAACCCCTTTGTAAATACAATACTGAGTTGTCAATGAAAGCAAACATGGGTATAGGGACGGATAGATGGGTGAACAAGCTAAACAATTATGTATGTCTAAATGGAGAGTGTATCCAAGATCATATACAGGGTTGGCAGACAATGGGCCTCTCAAAGAGTATGAAGGGATGGACACTGGGAGGAGGTAACTATGGGGAGGAAGTGGGAGGGGAGCTGCTGCATTGTAAATTTTGGTCAATGACATGAGACAAAGTATATGTGAGCTGCTGTATGAAAAGTGAATTTACTCTGTAAATCTTCACCCAAATCCTAATTTAAAAAAAAAAAAAAAAAAGGAAGGTGAGAATGGCTGTACAACTTAAAGAATATAATCAATGTCACTGAATTATACATGTAGAAATTCTTGAATTGGTGTATGTTCTGCTGTTTATATTCTCAACAACAAAAATATAATATGAAAAAAAGGATGAGAATTAAAGACATTACCATGAATTCTATCAAATTCATATTTTATTTGGTTATTTTATAACCAATTAACCAATTATTTGGTTATTTTATAACCAATTTTATAGCACAAAGGAATAACATAATAAATCATAAAATATGCAGTGTATTTGAAAGAATAGACATTGTACTCAGCATTTGACTTGAATTATTTCATCCTCTCTACAATTATGAGCAAGGTAGACATCTCTTTTGTCCAAATGATAAAACTGAGGCTTGGACAAGGCTAAGTAATTCACACAAGGATACAGAGCTAGAAAGTAGTGGAGCCAGAACTGAAACCCAAATACCCCACCACAATCTCATAACTATCACAAAATTGTCCCTACAATTTAACTATACCATAATCCACTGGTGTCAAGTTGATTCCAACTCATAGTGACCCGGCAGGAAATAGCAGAACCGTATAAAGGGTTTCCAATGGTATAAATCTTACAGAAGTCGACTGCCACATCTTTCTCCCACAGAGCAGTAGGTAGGTTTGAGCTGCCAAAATTCTGGTTAGCAATGAAGTGATTTAACCACTGTACCACCAACCAAATCAAACACACTGCCACTGAGTCAATTCCAATTCCCAGGGACCCTATAGGACAGAGAGAAACCCTATAGAATTTCCAAGGCTATAAATCTACAGAAGAAAACTTTCTCATCTTTCTCCCATGGAGAGGCTGGTAAGTTTGCTGCAGAATGCTTTGCCACTGCACCACCAGAGCACCTTACTATGCCACAAGGGCTCCTTTTCACTCTATTCTAGACAGAAAAAAAAAAAAAAAAAAATCACACAACCTTTGCCCATCACATTTTTTTTGTAAAATTTTATCGTTTTATTAATAACATCTAAGTTTAGTAACCCCATAATGCCTGAATAATCCCAATTCCAGTCCTTAAAGTAATGATAGTATTAATGTAACATGGGCAGTGATAATAATAAGGTAACACACGGCAAAATCCAGAAATCAATGATAACCAGTAGAAAATTTGTAAAATATCAATTGAAATAATAGAAATACTGTAGTCTAGTGCCTAAGGCACTTGGCTGCAAACCAGAAGGCTGGCGGTTCAAACCCAGCAGCCACACCTCGGAAGGCAGGTTGGGCAATCTACTTCCTTAGTGATACAGCCTCAGAAACCTAAGGAGGGGTCGCTATGAGTTGCATCCGACTTGATGGTACATAACAACAACAACAACAGAAATACTAAGGCACAAGTAAATTACCATAGGGAAAGTCTATGAATGTCTATTCTTTTTAGAATAATTTTGTGAACATGTCTATAAAAGGAACTTTGTTCAGCAGCTTATTTGTTCCAACTACTTAATTTACATTGGAATCACATTTTGTATCTGAAACCTAATGATAAGTTGCTGTGGCTCTAAGTATTTGGATATAAACTTGGTTATGAGGACCAAACTCATTGTCATTGAGTCAATTCTGACTCATAATGACCCTACAGGACAGAGAACTGCTCCACGTGGTTTCTAAGGCTATAAATCATTATGAAGGCAGACTACCACATCTTTCTCTTGCAAAGCAGCTAGTGGGTTCCACCCACCAACTTCCGGTTAGCAACCAAGTGCTTAACCACTGCACTACTGGCACTCCTCTGGTAATGAAGAGTAGGCAATAAATAAAAATAGTGATACTTTTTATTATACAAAGGATATAAAGTAGTGAAAATGATTTAGTAAATGAAAATATCATTAAATCCAATGCTTTGAACACTTTTCCATTGTATATTTTGTATATTTTTATTCAACTAGTTATTATATTTGATCCTTTTTTTCCTTTACCTTATCTCCTTCTCCATGGATTGGAGAGCACAAGAGATACAATCCATGATAGGCCAGTTCTGGTATATATTTTGCTTCATTAAGGTTTCTAAATAAAAAAGGCAAAAGATTGGTTAACAGATAGAACTTACCTTGGAATCTTCCTTAACCCTATAAGCCATATTTAAATGAATAAATTCTGTTTGTGTGTACCAATGAGGATAAAATGGCACTTATATTTCAACCAGAGCAAAAATTACTGAGAGAAAAAAAAACAAACTCACTGCCATCAAGTAGATCCTGACTCATAATGACCCCTTGGGTTTCCAAGGTGGTATCTCTATGAAAGTAGATTGCCCCATCATCTTCCTTGCAAACCACCAGCCGTCTGGTTAGCGGTCAAATGCCTTAAAAATGACACCACCAGAGCCACCCCCCCAAAAAAAAACTATTATAATACACTAATACTTTAACATTGGAAGACCTTATGGCTCACCTGGATTGTGAGATGTGAAATTCATCAAGAACTGGCTCAAAATTAGTTAATGTAACAAAGACCTGGAAAGTAGCACAAAGATCAGATTTTTCCTGTTCACTGTAGTTAATTAAATATACTGTAGTCTATGCACTTTGAGAGTGTACCAAGGTCCTAGGAATTTTCATTTACCTCTACACAATTCTGAACACACTGTGGCTTTTCTTTCAGGGAAAACTTGGGCAGAAGCCTTAAAAAATTCTTCAAAAGGTGGACAATCGCATTTCGAATATGTGAAAGGTCCCGGGCAGAAAAACAAATATTCTCTTCATCTTCTTGTTCTTGTAAAATTATATCCACCTAGGTTACGAAGAAACATACAGATGACTTTCTAACAATGCCTAATAATTTGATCCATGGTTTTCAATGAACTTAAACCAAGTCCCGTTAAACTACAGAGCATAGCCGAAGCACTAAACTGATGCAACTTGGACCAACCCTTGTGACTATTCTGTTTCCACAGTCACATTGTAAACTGTTAGACTAAAATGATAGGTAAAATAGTTCCTAATCCTGTTATTTTGTGTGAATAAAAATTCTTTTGTTTCTTAGAAGTTTTGAAGTCAATGAACCTTCCTGTTTACTCACATGAAAATTTGGAATTAATGCCATTCTATTATGCTCTTATATATATCAGCCCTCAGAAAGTTTCAATTATCCTCTCTAATGATAAGATGATGTGTCAAATATGCCAGTTAGCATGTTGTCAAGGAAACCAGGGTCCCAAGGCTAAGGAGAGATTATTGGAAACTCGGAAGATGCCCATGTGGAAATGTACTCTCAATATTATACCAAATCCAATACCTAAAATCATATTGGATAAGCTGACTATGCTCTAGGATGTTTTAGTAATAATCATAATGCTTAAGACCACACTTTAATATAAGGTTAGTCTTAAATAAATAAAAATCATGGGCAAGTATAGAAAATGTTTGATTACTGCACTTATTTCTTACCTCAATATTCTCTCTTCTGAGTGGCTTTCCTCTTTTTCTATTCCCTCTTGGATTACTCTGAAGGTTCTTAGGCTGTTCTTTCTTTCTTTTGCGGTTCAAGTTAGACTCCTGAGGCCAACTCTTCTTTAGAATCTGAATACATTTGTCAAACATCACTGGATGGAATATTTGATTGGCTACACTACCTGTTCATAAAGAATAAAAGCAGATTAGATTTAACTCCCTTGAAATATGTCTATAACAGAGAAGAAAAGTTAAAAAGCAAAATCCAGGCTTTTCATTAACTCTGAATTATACTGACCCTTTACCAAAAAAGCACCATGATCAACTTTAACTTAGTGGATGGTCAATAGTGCTGAATTAGAAAAAAATAAAAAAGATTTCCACATCTGGCAATGCTGCAGTAACTGTTTTGATACTTGCCCTCCTGTCATGAACAATGATAACACTAGACAAAAGTTTATAAAGTAATTGTTTTAAGACACTAGTTAACAAGTAGCACAGATATGCAATCCCTGATAGAAGGGGGAGAAAAAGAGAAAATTTTAAGGTAAACCTTAAAATTGCCCCCGTTTTGTGTCTAGAGGCAATACCTAGACAACAGCAGAGTAAAGGCAAACCTAAACTGATTATGTTGGTTTTACTGAGTTCAGGAAGGGAAGGATAGCTGGAATTTATGGGGCAGAATACTAAAAAGGAAACAACGCAGAAATAGAGCTTCAGAAATCTGAATATGGCCAAATACTAAGCTATGAACATAAGGTAAAACTCAATGAAGCAGGAAAACAAAAATTTCCAAGGAGCTAGAAGCTGTATAAGAGTCCCTGGGTGTTTAAATGCTTGACTGGTGATGATTTCGACCCACTCAGAGGCCCCTTGGAAAAGAGATCGGGTGACCTGCTTCTGAAAGGTCACAGCCTTGCATATCTATGGAGCAGTCCTACTCTACACAAGGAGGTGACACAATTGATTGCTATGAGTAAGAATCGAATTGACAGCAACCAACAACAGAAGTAATTTTCATTATAAAAAAGGCTGAGACACATTTGAGTTCTGAGCAGTCTGAATGGTTATTGTTTTGATAGCACTCTCCATAGGGTTTTCTTGGTAATTTTTATGGAAGCAGATCATGAGGTCTTTCTCCCCTGGAGCTGCGGGGTAGATCTGAACCACCCAACTTTTCCATTAGCAGCCAAGTGCTTAATACTTTGTTAACTCTTGGCTCCTCAAGCCAGAGGGAAGAGACTTTGTTTATCATGCAAAGCATTAAATAGAGACCTCAGAAAAAAACACACTTGAACAGGAGGGTTAAATTAGTTCTAGGGTAAAGGCTACTCTTTATCTGCCCTAAAATAAACTTTCTAATTAGTCTCAAAAAGATCAAGTTAATCCACCAATAGCTTCCATCCAAAACATAATTCAAAACTATGTAAAACAAAACAACAAAATCCAAACAATCAACAACCTAACATTCAAAATATCTACCACCCAATAAAAAAAATTACTGAACATTATGGATTCTGGGAAAATGGCAGTGTAAACAAGCCATAGCTCTAACACTCCTCTTCAAACACAATAAGGAAACAATGCTTGCCTTTGAAGGACTGAATTGGGGAGAAGACAGCAGCAGAAAACTGCAGACAGGTAAGAATTAACAAATCAACAATGAGTTACATATGGTAAGAAAATAATTTTCTCTCACCGTCCACGCCTCTCCACCCAGGCACATGGTGCTGGCTAATGTGAACTGGGAAAGCAAGCCAGCAAAAGAGTCTGCTTCCCTAACTATCACACTCCTTGCCTAGACAGACAGAACTCCAAGTTTCTGCTCTACAATTAGTAAGGCAGACCTACCCAGCAGTCCATCTGGAACATGCTACACCCTCCCCCACCCAGAGTCAGCTACAAGGCTGCTCCAAATTACTACAGAGGGCCCCTGCAGTGGAGTCTATTCCCCTAGTCAACACTTTACCTGCCTTCTTGCAAAACCCATACTTCATGCTTGTATAACCAACAAAACAGACTTTGGGTTTGTCTACCCACCCACTCCCATTTTTAGGTGGCACTGGAGACTGCTGACTGAAGCTGCTGTATGCTAGGATGCAGGCACCAGCAACGGAAGGTGCCAAGAAACGTACTACAGGGGGGCTATGATAATAATAAGGCAGACTTCCCTGGGAGATCATTCAAAGGGTGACAGTCATTAGCCCACCTGGCAACTGGCAGCTGGTGGTCTAAAATGAACTCGTACAGAAGTTTCCCAACAGTGAAGCCACTACGCAAGTCACCAGTGGGGAATGCTCCCTTAACAACCAAAGGCCACTAGGGCTCTTGAAGCAAAAAGAAAAGTCTCTCTGAGATCCTTCTAGGGAGTACCAGCCACTCCTACTCCACATAAAAAAGTAAAGTCTGCCTGTGCTTTCCTTGAATGCCAGCTCTGTTATAACAGCTCCCATAGCACAGGGAAGGAAGTCTTGGACCAAATCAGAGGGGAATATCTAGTCCTGAAGAAGGCTCCCAGCGTGTGAGTTTTCCAATAGAAAACATGGTTAAAAACAGAGAGAAAAAGGGAGTTAACAACCACAGAGAGGCCTGTGCTCCCTGACTAACAGACTAATTAGTGCATGATATCTCACCTGAGTGGTGGTGCCTACTGGTGGACAGATTGACCACAGCATGTTCTCTGATGAGTTTGGGAGACACTCACAGGTGAAAACTGAAATCTGGAACTTCTGAATCCTAATTAAATTACAGACAGGGAAGGAACTATCAAGGATAGGAAGAAAAAACATAAGAAAAAGTGGAAGGCTCTGTCCATCGAAGAATTTTCTGCAAAAGTGGTATGAGTGAAAACACCAAATACAAGAGAGAGCAAAGTTAACAACAACAACTACAAAAATAAAAAATCACAAGATATACAAAGACAAATGACAGCCCATTCAAAAGAACATGATGAAGAAAGTCAAAGTGCATCTATGTAAGGCCAAATTATGAAAAGAATGGAAGAATATAACACAGTAACATTATACATAAAGCATTAAAAGAAATAAGGAAAAGAATGCAAGAGGAAAATGACTATCTAAAAAAGATTTAAAAAAAAAAAGAAAAGAAAAGAAACCAAAGAAAAATGCTGCAAGTAAAAGAACAACAACTGAACTGAGAAATACATTGGAAAGGTGTTACAACAGGTTAAATCAAGCAAAAGAAAGAATAGTGAATCAGAGGCTAAAATATTTGAAATTCCAGAAGTGGAAGAGTAGCAAGAACGAGAAGCTCAAGAAGACTGAGCACAGTATGGGACATCAAAAAGAGTACTAAAATGTATAATGGCAATTCCAGAAAAAGATGAGGGAGAGAGAAAGAAGCAATAAAAGCACTTGAAGAAATAATGACAAAATACTTCTTCAATCTAACAGAGCACATGAATCTACAAATCCAAAGAGCAGAAAGAACCACAAGCAAGATAAAATTAAAGATATCAACACCAAGACACATGATGCTCTTGTTCTCAAAAAGGACAGAGACTCCTGAAAGCAGTGAAAGGGAAGCAAACAGTCACATATAAATGATACCTAGGTAAGATTTAATGCAGATTTCAGCTCATACTCATGCTTGATAATTCTAATTGTTTTGTCCTTTGTGCTTTCTAATGATATATAAAAAGCAAGGATAACATTATGTTACAAGGCACATGAAATAAAAGATGAAAAAATATGATCCAACTATATGCTGTTTACAAGAGACACACTTGAGACCCAGGAACACAAACAGGTTGAAAGTGAAAAGAGGGAAGAAAGTATTCCATGCAAATAATAACCAAAACAGAACTGTGATGGCAATCTTAATACCAGACAAAGTAGATTTTAAGACAAAATCTGGGGACTTTCAGCAAGATGGCAGAAGAGGCAGACAACTTACACAGATGTTCTTTAACAAAGGTAAGAGAAACCAGTTGACACGAATACATAAGATAATCCTGGAGCCCTGAGCTTTGGAAGGAAGGATAAAAAAGTAGATTAAATACCAATTGGTAAGAGAACCTGAATAAAATCAGTGAATAAGGAGACAAATGGAGCTGCGGACTGTCGGCTATCCTGATGGCACGGCCAGTTTGAATATTTACAAGTGGTGGTAAGATCAGGGCAGTAACCTAAGAATCAACCTTACTCGCCAAGGGCTGTATGGAAAACTGCACCAGTGGATGATGGCTAAAAAGGAAAACAGTAAGTAAGGAGACAAACTGAGTGGCAGACTTTCTCCTGTACTGAGGTCACACACACACAAACCAAACTCACTAATATCAATTCGATTCCGACTCATAGAAACACCTCCTTGGGTTTGCGAGGCTGTATCACTATGGAAATAGATTGTCCAGTCTTCCTTTCAAGGAGTGGCTAGTGGGTTTGAACCACCAGCCTTCTGGTTAGCAGTCAAATGCCTCAGACACTACAACACCTGAGCTCTGTTTTGAATAACTGCAAGTAGCGTGGCTATTTGGGATATTTCCAAGCAACAGCATTCTGATACCAGCAACCTAAGGATATGCTCCACTGGCCAAGGACAGCACAGGAAATTGCATTGGAGGCTGACAAGTGGAAAACTGCAATATTCCCCATTACTCTTATACCCAACACCCTCTTGGTGAACAGATCTGGGGTCATCCTCCACTTCCACCCATTTTCTGGACAAGCAGGAATTTCATTCCAATTTGTGTGCCTTGATGGAGCCTGGTGCCCTGCGCTACCCTCACACCCCAATTTTGTTTTTGTTTGTTTTGAAAGTACTCTTTTGGCTTCCTTTACTCTCTTTTTCCCTTCCCAGTTCTAATTTTTTTTTTTACCTTTTCATCTTTCCTTTTCCTAGTTACCATTTTTTTTCTTTCCTTTGGTTCTTCCCATACCTTGTTTTTCATTTTGCAGTTTTCTCACTTTTTCTTTATTATACTTTCACTCCTCCTCTTTTCTTTTATACCCCATCCCCAGATATTGTGGGATGTTGCTTCCCCCTTATTTTCTATTTGTATTTCTTTTGTGTTTTTAACAGATTTTTTTAAAAATTTCTTCTCACTTACTGGCTTTTTTCTTTTTTTTAATTTTTCCCATTTGTTTATGCAGTTTGTTCTCCTGTTTTGATTTTTTTTTTTTTTTTTCTGGTTTATCTTATCGTTTTTGTCTAAACGAGGGGG